TAAATGGATTTTCTTCTGATTCAAATTTGCGCGCTTTTACTCCTTCTTTCTGATGATTTCATTGTCTCCCTCCGCCCTCAGGATGCTATGCTCAGCGAAACTTTCACTATACCATTCTGATTCCTATATGAACGACTTCCTTTCTATTTTCAGTACGCGCAGCTGTGTTTTGATCCCGCTGAGATGAGAAGAAATTTTTAATTCGCGTTAAACCTTTTGTAATGAAATGCGCGCGTTGGCTAATTACGCCTGTGTTGATACGCAGTGTCGGTGAGTGCCTATGACCACAGCAGGTCTTACACGTGGTGCGCAGAGCTTTCGATCTTCAGGCAACAAAAGAAGTTGCCGTCAATAAGGTGAAATTTCCATTCCGCTATTTATCAGACTATGTCAGTTGCTAGCAGTCCTGCAGCCCTCCACCTCGGGCAGTCTTGCACCATTCATAGCTCACGTGAATACATACACTCTAGTGTCAACGCGAAAAATGTTGTGAATTTGGTGACACTTACTTTTCAGCACCTTCTATCAGACTTCATCTGCCTTCCGTGGGTCTTCATCAACTGCCCTCTTTTCACTTGGCTTGAAAGCTGTGCGGCCAAGTGGAGAGAGGGCGATTGATGAAGTGGAGTGAAGGGTATTCATGAATTTCGTAGAAAAAACGCAGGCACACCCACATAACTTTTATCTAAACAGTAGGATCACAAAGGTGTTACAAAAATTGTCACACTTAGGTAGGTTTTCATCAGATTTGAACTGAGTTAGGAAAGGGTTCGATAATTCGTAAGTATGTTCAATACAAAGCATTATTTACCGACGGACCTTATACTTGATGGTGAGTAAGCTTTGCTCAGTGACACATATCTCAGTTCATTGCTTTATTTCTTAAAAATACGACGTAAATTCTGTGCTGAACGCTAACAAGCAACCCTTCAGTTGACTTTGCTACTGTTGTTTATTATGTTTTGAGCTTTATTATCACACCTCTTCATTGATGTAGCATTTCTGCGCCCTTCTTCGTAGTGCTCTGTTTGATGATGCTAGCTTTTTGTTCCGTGAGTAATCAAGTACTGGTTGCTGTTTAAATAATATTTATTGCTTTTTGCTCGCCTGATCTCAAATATTGAGTGCCATGCGGGTATAGTTCACAGTTATTCTGCGAAATATATTATAGAACTAATAAAGATTTTTGCTGATTGCTAACCTTCCAAAACCACTAGATTATCCGATTGTGAAATAAATCACTCTTTTACATGTAACGAACTCCTTTGAGATCGCTATTTATAATT